ACTCAGTTACGGTCTGGATATTGTACCCGCCTAAACAGCTACCTGTCCAGACTCGACCCAAACATCCCAAATGAGTGCCCGGCATGTGGAGACTCCCCCCACGACACCAACCACCTCTTCACATGCCAGCTCAATCCGACTCAACTAACACCCCTCTCCCTTTGGTCCGACCCCATCGAAACAGCTCGTTTCCTGGGCCTACCGTTAGTTGAGCTTGACGATAATGATTAAAAGTTGACCCGAAACAGGCGGGGCTTAGTAGTGCCGCTACAACAACAACAACAATAACAACAACAACAACAACGAAGTTTGCTCGACGACTGTTCGCGACGATAGATTTATTTCTATCGCCGCGGTCAACGGCAACGACAAAAAAAGGCCATGATGACCATACTTTAAAAGTTATCGTAATTTTTGTTTAAAAGTAAAATAATATACCTTATATTTTTCTATCAGAGATTAATCTAGTAAAACGTAAGTTTACTAGTAGTTATATTTAAAGACTATTTCTATATTTTAAACTTCTTCTTGCCGGTATTTTCCCTCTTCGTTGTAAAAGCTTCCGTCTTGAAACATGATCACCTTATCAGCTGACAGCAATCGAACCGCTCTATTTGTGTTTCAGTAAGCGAATTAGCTGGGCGAAAGTTGGTCGTCGGCATCGCTCTGCTGGGCGAAATTTGCCGTTCGCCGGGTATTGTGTTTCAAGCATAAATTGTAGAAGTGTCAGTAGTGCTGCCACTGAACTCGAAGGATTTTTATAATTACGCACAGGCAAAACATAATTCATTTCTTTCTAGTAATGCAAATACATGAACCAAAAATACAAGATCACGTAAGAACGCGACGTTGTATTTGTAGCTGGTTTTGAGAAAAAAGTTTGCAAAAGCGGGTTCGTCAGCTGAGCGTTTGTTTACATCACAAGCACCACTATTTTACACTTTTATTCAAGTAAAGAAGAGTTAATTCAACATGACAACACATTTTAATGCATCATTTTACCTAAATTTTGCGTTTAAAGTGGCTGACAATAATTTTGGCTAATTTTGGTTTTCGTTGTTTTCTTTGCTTTGTTTACTTTTCGCTCGTTTTCCAGTGAAACAAGATGGCGTAGAACCCGCTAAAACAAATCGACTTTTTTCACTCTCTTGTTCTTACGTAATCTTGTGTCTTTCGTTCATGATGCAAATAGATGTTTGGTTGCAAAAGTTACCAAGTTACCAAATCCTTTAAAAGTCACCAATTTTGTTAGAAAGTTCCGAATTGTGGCAACCATGTAGCATACAAAGACAGCTGATTAGTTCATCATTCTAACAAATTAGGGAAAAAGGTTGGTCACTTGAAAATTGCACATTTCACAAGCGGAAACTGTAAAAATATCAACATGGAAATATCTGATTTATATTACAGTAAGGATGAATACGTAGAAACTGTAAGCATCATCCAAAATATAAAAGCTGGATAAGTTCTTTAAAGTCTCCGATTTTAGGCTTCGGGAAACAAGGTCAGCAGACAAACTGTTCTCTGCGGCTCGCAAAATATCGTGCTAAATGGAAAGGTTGTAGTACAAACCGGTGCCATAATAAGAGGTGATTTAGCAAACGTTCGTACGGGTCGCTACTGTGTTATAAGCAAAAATGCCGTCATCCGACCACCATACAAACAGTTCAGCAAAGGTATAGCTTTCTTTCCTATGCACATTGGAGACCACGTCTTCATTGGTGATGGTGCAGTGGTATCAGCGAGCTCTATTGGATCATTTGTGTATATTGGAAAGAATGCAATAATTGTAAGTAAAAACAACCACATATTACAGATTTTAAATTTTATTATTTCTTTCTACTTGACTTTTCACATAGGGTCGTCGTTGTGTGCTGAAAGACTGCAGCATCATTGAAGACGGTGCGGTACTACCACCAGAGACAACAGTTGCAAGTTATATGCGGTACACAGCTGAAGGTACAATCGAAGGCGGGCAAGGTAACCCCAATTTTGTTCCAGCAGCAATGCAAGATCAGATGGTCGACTATACAAAATCGTACTACGAACACTTTTTACGCAATCCACAAGCTGGTTAAGTCTTAATTAATTAAAAGAGTATCAAGTAATATTTTTACTAAACATTTATTTAGAATGTAAAATTAATTTTTATTCGAATCGCGAACTCTGCTTAAATGAAAACTAAGTAATGTTTTTTTAACAACACAAAGGTAGCTTTAATTTATAATAAAAATAAAAAAGTACTTTAAATTAGAGCTTTTGCTTTAATAGAGCAGCATCATTTAATCAATTATACCGGTTTCAACTTCATACGCCGGGTGGCCCATTTCAAATACAGGAAATGTCAGTCCAGTACGTCGCGCAATTACCTCAGCCGTCTCTTCGGAATTATTTAACGCCGACGTATCGATATTTTCGTTCATTAAAAGTACTGTCGCCGTATTGCGACAGTTAGACACGGTTGCTGTCACGTGTAGTGGAGTTTGATCGCCTTCAGATCTGGCGTTCACATCAGCCCCATGTTGTAAAAGTAACCCAGCACATTCTGCATTACTCCATTTACATGCTGAATGTAAAGGCGTCCAACCCAAATTTGTACGTGCATTTGGATTGGCCTTGTACTGCAACAATAATTTGGCAATATCTACGAAATTATTGTAACATGCCCGATGCAAAGGCGTATAACCATCGTCGTCTATTGCAGAAACAGTTTCGGCGTCCAGTTTTAGAATGTCTCGAACTTCATTTATTTTATTTTCATTTACAGCCCATAGAATCATTCGCTCGATGCTTGCTAAGGATATAGTTTAATAGCAATTGAAATAATTATGCTCACATATATATTTGTCTATGCTTCATCAGGGCTTACCTTGTGGATTTTTGTCTTCTTCAATTAGTTCGTCAGCATCATCGTCCCATCCGCTCACAAACATTCCGCGCGGAACTTTCGCATAGCGCAGCTTTTCTAATTGTGATTTTTCGTCATCAGAATCATAATCACCCATATTTTTTAAAATGTATATAAGATAAAGGTTAATTAAATAGCTCGCAGGCGTTTAAAAAAAATAGTACTCTTTCGCCCTTTATTTTTATTTTTGTTTACGTTTAGTGAAACGAAAGAAAATCATTGCCCACAAACGTCAAAATTCACAGATGTGGTACAGAGTTACCATGAAACTTTTAAAAAAATTGGTGGATGTTTCATTGTCCAGACAATGCTGTCAAGACAATAAAGAAATACCTATTAGTTGTCAAAAACGCTGTTGTTGTTGTTGTTGTTGTTGTTGTTGTAGCGGCTACAACAACTCCGCCCAGGACGGTTGGTATCACAGTCGTTGTCGTCAAGTTCCACTAACGGCAGCCCCAGGAAGCGTGCAGCTTCTGTAGGGTCCCCGTCAAAAACGCTGATAATTGTCTCCGTCGCGTCGGCGTCCTGACAATAGTTATGGCAATTCCTTTTGAGCAAAATGTCGGGCGTGAACGTTGTATTATAATACGATTTTCACGCTATTGTATAATATAGCCGAATGTCAGGGATATTAAAAAATAAGGCTGTTTTATTACTTCACCTAATAAGGAATTTCAACTTTCACAGGCGATTAGTTGAACCAAAAGTTGAACGAAAGTAGGCAGCCGACCAACTGAACTACACCAGGCGATTGTTGCTTTCAACTAAAAATCGCCTGAAAAATCGCCTCATGTAAATTCCCTATAAATGCACACATATGTGCGTATACTAAGGGCCGGTTGTTCAATGTCTGGTTATCACTACTTGCCGGTTAAACATCATTAACGACGATTTCGACATCAAGCATATAACATGTGATCGATAAAGCAGTCGTTGTATCTAACCAGAGCTTCTACCTCCAATTTGTGCTAATCAGACATTGAACAACCGGCACTAAGTTTAGGAATTACTCAATATTACTTTCAAGAGCTTGTGTGAGCAAATGCAATTTTTGGCAGCCAATGTCAGTTACGCGGTTTTGCAGAATGACGATACGTGGTTTTGTACTTTAAGGGCCGGTTACTCAATGTCTGGTTAACACTAATCTCTGGTAAAACATCGTTATCGACGTCTTCGACTCCATGCATACAACAGGGAGTCGGTAACGTCGATAACTATGTTTAACGGGAGACTAACGTTAACCAGACATTGAGTAACCGGCCCTAAACCAGGGACGTGAACCGGTTTTGATCCGGAAAACCGCTTTTTTCTATTAATTAACTGAACCATTAACCGAACCGAAATTTTCCACAAATGTTTGATCAGAACCGAAAACCGAACCATTTTCTACAAAGGTTTAAAGGTTCGTTTCAACCAATTTTCAATAGATAAATGTACCCACTTTTTTCTTTTTGGTAAACATGGTAATACCTACCATGTTTGTTTACCATGTGACAATATCAAATGTAAGGCAACCCATCTCGTTTGACAGACACTTGACCCTTAACCTTGCGCGTTGTTGCACTTGACACTTGACACTAACGGCCGTTTGCACCATGTCTAGTTAACGCTAACTGGAGGTACATCCTTCAGTTAAGCACGTTAACTGCTTTATCGATCACATGTTATATGATGGGTGTCGATAACGTCGATAAAGATGTTTAACTGGGAGTTAGAATTAACTAGACATGGTGCAAACGGCCCTAAGTGCGGTTGCTCAAAGCCTGGTTGACACTAATCACCGGTTAAACATCGTTATCGACGTTACCGACACCATGTTATTTGCATGGAGCCGAAAACGTCGATAACGATGTTAATCGGTGATTAGTGTCAATCAGGCTTTGAGCAACCGGCCCTTAAACTTGCGCGTTATTTTTTTTGTTTTTCGAACTGTTAACCGAACCGAAACCCCGGTTCAAAGACCAAAAACCGCTTTGATGAACCAATCCAAAAGTGCAAAAACGGTTCGAACCACTAAACCGAACCGACCAAATTTTCATCTGGTTCACGTCCCTGCCTTAAATGACGATATGCACCTATACATATGGACGGAAACGAATACCTCATAAAGGAAACCACGTAATTAAATGAAAGAAATGTTTTATGAAACTGTTTTAAACAATTTTTTGCGCGTTTAGTTACTTAATAAAATTTTTAATTCTAAAAAACATCCGGCACTTATAAAACAACTGATTATTGTGAGCATAATTTTGTAAAAAAATACTTATTTCTTGCAGACTAATGGTCTGATTATGGCAACTTAACGTAACTTATGAATTGATATATGAATTCGCCGTCCTGTTCTCTACTGCTAGTGAGTAGTAGAGAATGACGTATATTCTCCCCATGTTTTCGCGCGTTCAGTTACTTATTTAAATTTTGGAACAAATGCAGTTGGGCTCCAAATCTCAAAAAAATAGAAAAATATTGGAATCGATAGAGATGATGGAGCTGAGTATAACGGTATACTTCTTTTTTTGGGCAAACAACAACAACAAAAATTATCAAAGGTTAAAGTTCAAAATAAGCAATTTTTGAAATCAAGATTTCTTAAAAACCGATGTATGGATCTTGAGAATTTTTCATTTAATAGGAAATTTGATTCCCTTTAATTTGGTATACGTACTTTATATATATGTTGTATTGTTCTTACAAAAATTGAATTAATGTAAAATAATTATAAAAAAAACACCTATTGCAGAGAACACCTTTTAGCGTAGGCGGCCTGCGGCCGCACTTAGGGATTATAACCCTCACATCGTTGTTTTACCGGTAAAAATAAATGTATGGAGAAAAAAAATATTTTTTGCCTAAAATATTAAATTTTTTTAAAACTGTTGATTATATAGAAAAACGTTATATGAACAGATTAAAGGAATTGTAATTTTTAATTTTTTTAAATTTGTTTAAGCAAAATCGGACTAGTGGTTCTCGAAACGCCGGGACACGTACAACTTCTTTTTTACCGATATAACTTTCCCCGGTAGTTTGAACCCTTCCCGATCACTGACCCCTACCATTTGTCTCACAGGGTAATTCTTGTTGTTGTTGTTGTTTGCCCAAAAAAAGAATTATACCGTTATACTCAGCTCAATCATCTCTATCCATTCCAATATTTTGTTTTTTAATTTGAGATTTGGAGCCCAACTGCATTTATGCCATACTTATTTCTGGCAGACTAATGGTCTGTAGCTCGTTTCTGTAACAATTCTCTACCAAGGCGAATTGAGATATGAATTCGCCGCCCTGTTCTCTACTGCTAATTAGTAGGTGAGAGTTAAGGTGTATTAAACAAGGTGGTGTTGGGGCGACAGCTGAGTTTTTCGCCGTGGAGGCCATTACGTCAAAATGATGTGTTTGTTGTAACTCATACCAATGACAGTATGGACATCAGCGTATAATTTGTTAGTGTAATTTTTTACTTATATACGGCCAACACCACCTTGTTAAATACGCCTTGGTGAGAGTGACGTATTTTCTCTACCAGTAGAGAAATAATCGATAGAGAAAAGTTACAGAAACGGGCTACTGATTATGGAACTTAACGTAACTTATGAATTGAGATATGAATTCGCCGCCCTGTTTTCTACTACTAGTGAGAAGTAGAGAATGACGTATATTCTCTACCATTGGAGAAATAATCGGTAGAGAAGCGTTACAGAAACGAGGTACTGTAGCTCGTTTCTGTAACAATTCTCTACCAAGGCAAATTCATATATGAATTCGCCGCCTTGTTCTCTACTGCTAATGAGTAGTAGAGAATGACGTATATTCTCTACCAGTAGAGAAATAATCGGTAGAGAAGAGTTACAGAAACGAGCTTCAGATCACTATCATTATCATATCGATAGATTTGCGTGCAAATTTCTATCGGGATCCCGATCATTGCCCACAGAAACACAACAAGTATTCATGAACCAAAAATACAAGATCACGTAAGAACGCGACGTTGTATTTGTAACTGGTTTTGAGAAAAAAGTTTGCGAAAGCGGGCTCGTCAGCTGAGCGTTTATTTACATCACAAGCACCACTATTTTACACTTTTATTCAAGTAAAGAAGAGTTAATTCAACATGACAACACATTTTAAAGAATTTGTTGCATCATTTTACCTAAATTGTGCGTTTAAAGTGGCTGACAATAATTTTGGTTTTCGTTGTTTTCTTTGCTTTGTTTACTTTTCGCTCGTTTTCCAGTGAAACAAGATGACGTAGAACCCGCTAAAAAAAATCGACTTTTTTCACTCTATTGTTCTTACGTGATCTTGTGTCTTTCGTTCAAGGCAAGTATTTCTGCTGCCAATGACGCCCTGCAACCGTCCCGATTCCGTAGTGGCATATTCCCGTTGACCAGCAAATAGATTACTTTCACAATAAATACTAACTCGACAAATAAAAGGTTTCTTGCGTTGAAGTAGCCATTAATAAACAATGGCGGAAAAAGAAATAGATTCAGATGGAGAGGCAAACAGTGATCAAAGTTTACAAGGACTTTTTACAAAGGGATGGCAGGCATTCGAAGAATTAGAAGAATCTTCTTTACCCTTTAATTCCAGGGAGTATCAAGTAAGTATTACCACAATATGTCGGGAAAAATATACCGGCTTTAATGAAGTAAACCTTTTATGCACTAGCACAAAGTTAAGGATACTATGTCAATGTTGGAAACTTCTACAACTTTTGTAAATAAAATTGCCCTATTCAGTCCTAATGAACTCATAGATGAAGTGTCAACAGATTCATTGCAGTATTTACTGCTTCCTTTCTTTCTGGGTAAAGTGGCATTGAAATTGCACCAGGAAGACCGCGGGGAAGTGCTGCACATTGCCGAAGTGTATTTCAAGTAAGCTGCAATTACAAAAATAGTTTTATATTTTGCAAATATGTTTGTAATTTCAGAGACTTCTTGCAACGCTGCGAAGAATATGAGTTATGTGAAAATCGTAAAAATATTTCAGATAAATCGGAAGGTAGCAATACAGATGAATTAGCACAACTAATGCGGGCAGCACATGTACGCAATGACAAAATTGCACAATTTCGCAAAAAAAAGGAATTGGAAGAATTTGTAAAGAAAATGAAATTAGCCGTGCGTAGTAAAACCGTTGACGATGAAGTGCGCAGGGATTTTTTCCTAAAACTGATATATAAAAGCATAATTGACGCAAATGAAGAATTGGATAGTATTAAGTTGGAAAAGCAAATGGTAGAATTGCGTAAAATTCGTGGAAATGCAACTAATGGTGCTTTATCGCCACACGATGGCACTGCTTCCAGTGCAGAATCTGCGGCTACAAGCTCTCAGCATGCAGGACACTCTCATCAGCACCAACATCACCATCACGATACTCTACAACCAAAGAAGAAGCCAATGCAACCGTTTATTATTACACGTAATGCTGCACAAAAGGCAGTGTTCGGTGCAGGTTATCCTAGTTTGCCAGTGTTGACCGTCGACGAGTTTTACGATCAACGTGTGCGCGATGGCGTTTTCCCTAACGAAGAAAAAGTTGCGAAAATGAATCGTGAACAAGCAATCGCTGCAGCACAAGATCCCAATGAGAAAGAAGATCAGGAGCAGGCTATTGAGGAAGCGCAAATCGAGAATGATGATCCAGAGTATTTAGACCGCATGCGTCGTATGGACGAGTACAAGGATGTTGTTCGCCGTGGAGATGGGAACCGTTACAATCGCAGTTGAACTGTAACTTTACATTGTTTTTTTTTTTATATATACTCTAAAACATTTACAAATTATGTAATTGGTTTTGCTGCACATAGATTTTAATAAATAAATCATTACTTTATTAAAGAGAAATTCTGAGAGCTTTACCTTTCTTTGAATATATAATAAGTGGTATGAAAGGGATAAGGACGCTTTTGCTGTGGATTGGATTTAAAATTACAGGAAGTAACTCGCGAGTACATATCGTGTTGTTTCTGCGTTAATCCCATGAAACATGTATCATGGTTAAGTCGCTGGAAATCAAAGCTCTTGCCTGATGAACAGATAAAAATAAAAGTAACAAGTAAAGAAGTATAAGTTCGGGCAAAACCGAACTTTATATACCCGGCACAGGTATCAAATATCGTCGTTTGAACTTTCTCTGAACTAAATTTGCATGATAGGTAGGGGTGTTTACCCGATTTCAAACGTTTTCGATAATATGCGGAGTTATACTTAATGATATAATTGAACCAAGTTAGGTACAAATCGATAGAGGAGTTACCGAGATACACCTTTGTAGTCATAAGGTGGGCGGTGCCACGCCCAATTCCTAAAAGTCTATAGCAGTCTTATTTATAGCCACGCCCATTATCCAAAAATTTATAATTTTCTAATTTTCTGCTAAGTGGTTTTTGCAATCCTCGATTTTAAGTGAATTAGCTCCAGTAGTTACTGATTTATCGCAGTTTCCTTGTTTCTGTAAATTACCGTTATATGGCAGGTGGGCGTGGTTATTGCCCGATTTCAAATATTTTCAACAGATTTCTTGGCTAAGTTTTTTAGGGATTGGTGGAGCGGCTACTGTGATGCAGCATTTCATCATAAGGGGGTGGGGTCACGCCCATTTTCCAAAATTTCATATTACTTTATACCAAAATTTTAATTCACACTAATTTGCAACAATTTGCATCTAATATTTACTGAAATATCGTATTTTTCCATTTTTCGAAAATACTGTTATATGGGAAGTGGGCGTGATTACAGCATGGACCCAGGAGGTAGGGCTAGAACTGGACGTCTTCGTCGATGGCGCCAAAATACCGACGACTAATCACCCTAAAATCCTAGGAGTGACGTTCGATAGCCTTTTCTCCTTCTCCGCGCATGCCACAGCGATATATAACAAACTCCGGCCCAGAAGCAGTCCTCAAATCGCTAGCCGGCAGCACCTGGGGAACCGACAAACAAACTCTGCTCGCGACTTACAAGGCAATTGGCCGGTCAGTGGCAAACTACGCGGCACCTGTGTGGACGGCGGGGACAAGCGACACCCGGTGGAGGAATCCTCAAACCTGCCAGAACGCAGCTCTACGTACGGCTACAGGCTGTCATCTCATGTCGTCCGAGGATCACCTCCATGAAGAAAGCCAGATGCTTGCAGTAAAAGAACACAACACCATGCTGTCGAAGCAATTCCTCGTGGGTTGTCACCGAGAGAACCACCCCAACAACGCCTTGCTTCGAAACGAACCGCCCCCACGACACGTGAGTTGGCACCTGCACGACTGGAAGGCAGACATTGAGCCGTACGTCGACCATCCGTTCGACGCAGCAAGATACAGAGCGGCGCTCAACACCCTACACAGCGATGCGGTCAGAACGAGCCTCAGCACCCGCAATGACAACATCGTCTGTGGTGGTCGACCGCCGCCCATAAATTTATAGGAATCTGAACTGCCGAGAGAGACCTGGTACCCTAGCACAACTCCGTTCGGGGTGGTGTCACCGACTCAACAGTTACCTCTCCCGACCAAATTCACAAGTGGCACACCTGCCACGCATGTGGGCAACCCAGCACCTATTCACATGCACCTCCAACCCTACGCCCCTAACACCAGAAGCGCTCCGGACCGCGCCTATCGACGCTGCCTGCCTTCTCGGCCTCAGGCTTACTGAGTCGGAGGATGAAGACGACGTTACATGAAAGAATCACAGAACAACATCCCGATTGCGCCCATTTTCAATACCAACCTACGGTGTTCACAGACAGACAGCCGGACGGAAAGACAGACATGGCTTAATCAATTTCTCTTTTCATTCTGAGCATTTATGTATACATTTGTCCATATCTATCTCGATTCGTTTTGACTGTTACAAACAAACGTTATACGAACATAGTATATAAGGATATATTAATATCCTTGTGCACAAGTGCGCGCGGGTATAAAAATGTCATGCACTAAGTTGGTATATGATCTACTTGGTGGGTGCAATAAGGCCATACGCAATAAAGCCGTATGGCAATAAAGCCATATTTTTAGGCAATAAAGCTTTATGGCTTTATTTCCAATCAGAAAGAGAAATAAAGCCATACAAAAAATTTTCCAAATGAGAAATAAAGCCATATTCTGAAATGACACTCTCAAGGCGAATTAATAAGGCGGCGTTACCGGCGAATCTGAATTTTTCGCCTTAGATTACTTCCAAATGATGTGTTTGTTGTAATTCATTATTCAATTCGCCTTGGAAACCCTCTTGAAATTGATACTGAATTATTTGAATTGATACAAATTATTACTAATAAAATGAAATAAATAATTACTAAATATTTCCCGATTTATTGGATACTGGAAAATAAATATATGTACTTAGGTAAGTTTTAATTTTGCGAGTGCATAACCTGGCGGGTGCACATTTGCTGGCTCCCCGCACCGCGCCACGCCCGCGACCCCCGCGCAGCGTGTGAACGGCGGAGCGCAGCGCGGCTGGACGCGAAGGAGAGTAATTGCATGTTTAAGGTGACGTTGTAGTTCAAGGCGGTTTAGTAGTTTTGTTGCGAACTTTTTCCATTGTTTAAATAAAAGAAATATAAAAATTTGAAAGCGAAATAAAGACACATGGCTTAATTACCAATTGTAATTGGAAATAAAGCCATATCGAATTTATGGACTAATTACCAAAAAAATATGGCTTTATTTCCAATATGGCTTTATTGCGTGTGGCCTTATTGCACCCCACCGATCTACTTTCCTAATAAATTGAGAGGGCAAGATTTTGAATAACCGTATATTTATTAATACAGTAATATTTGAATTAAAAATATTACATTCGATGGTTACTTCTCGAATGTAAAATAAGCAACAAGTATAAATGATTTTAAAATGCTGGCATATACTTAAATACTTATACCTGAATGTTTGGGGAACTTATCTCTCGTGAACTTGGTGCTTTCTGCCAGAAAATAACTTAAATACTGATCTATTGGATACATTAGGATAAAATAAACGGATCTCTGGCGAACTTGGTGCTTTCTGCCAGAAAATAACTTAAAGACTGATCTATTGGATACATTCACATATTTTTTATAAATCTAGGTGTAAACTTTATCTGTAAATATCCTATTTGTACCATCATCTGATAAGATATATTTTGTTAAATATATGCTTCGTCGATGCACGTTAACAAAGATTTAAAGTAGCACGCAACGCGCTCAACCACAAAATTTTACTTCTACTATGACACATAAGTATTTTTGTTCGTTAAGTTCAAAAATTTATCTTAAATCTAACGAATTACACATAACATTTTTGTAAACCGTTTGTAAAAAAAAAAACAATATAATTTACGACTTAAATGCATACTCGAATCCTCCTTTAAACTAATTTGTTGTAGAATTTAGCAAAAAACATCAGTTAGGAGTGCTCATGCATGTCAAATAGATAATTTCATATTAATGTTAAAAATAAAAGTACCATTATCCATATAGTAGTGATCCAAAACTTCATGGGATGTAATTAAAACAACTTAAAAGGGCACAAAATAAGCAAAACCAAGACTTTAACGCGCATATATCATCGAAAGCTTTCGTTAGACATACATACACTTCAACAATACTGGCCAATGAATATGAATTGCGTAAAAATACATAATTTATCTCCTGGCGCGCTTTTTTGGTGGCTGCAAGAAGTTCTCTTCTTCCTCAATATCCATTGCGTCCAACTGCATCAAAGCTTTAGCTTTACGTAGCATTTCGTTATCTTTCAACCAGCTACTTCTCAAGACATCATCAATAGTTGGGCGTCTTTTTGGGTCGACAATCAACATTTCTCTAATAAGCGTAGTCGCTCGTTGAGATACCTTTCTCCAAGATGGATGATTAAAACGAAATTTGCCGTGTTTTATTTGCTCACTGGCTGGAGTACCAAAATCGTCCGAGAATGGTAAAGTGCCACTTAAGCTGAGTAGGAATTATTTAATTAGTTTTTAAATATATAGCATATTAACACAAGTAATACCAAGTAAAAAGCACTACGCCCAAACTCCAGATGTCAACTTTCTTTGTGTAAGCTCCTCGTCCACCTGTCTGCAGTACTTCAGGCGCTACATACAGCGGGGTGCCACATAACGTTTTCATTACAGAATCGTTTTGTACAAATTTACTAAGGCCAAAATCGGAAACTTTTAATAAAGTTTCTTCGTCGGAAGAACCCAGTAGTACATTATCCGGCTTTAGATCACGATGGCTAATACCTACAAATTATATCCAAATACTTAATGCCAATATTCTTAAAAAAAGGTAGGAATACAATACCTTTATCATGCAAATATTTGACGGCATGACACATTTGGAAGAAGAACAATTTTGATATCTGTTCGGTAAGATTTTTGTTGCTCACAATTCGATTGAGCAGGTCACCACCTTTCATGAACTCCAACACCATATAGACAGAGTCAGGCTTATCAATAATGTCATGCATTTTTATGACACATGGCTGCAAGTAAAAAAACAAAGTTTATTGTGTAACCAAAAATATAGTTCTACACAACTACACATTGTCGTTTAAAGTACAAAACCGCGTATCGTCATTCTTCAAAACCGCATAACTGACAATAGCTGCCAAAAATTGGATTTGCTCACACAAGCTCTTGGCTCAATCCATATCCATTCATCCTGTAATATACCATCCACATATGCGATTGTTTTATAAAAAAGAGAACCATTTTGAAATATGAGTGTTTTTACCCTCATGAAAATAATTTACATAATTCACATACGCGGTTTTGCATTATCTTGATACGCAGTTTTGCATTTTATTGATACGCGGCTTTGTATTTTAAACGACGATATATTGCCCTCATACATATATTACAGACGTGGTACGGTACAATCTCGTAGAATATCTGTTGCTTAATAAAAATTCAATTTTTATTTATTTATTTATAGCACGTTATGAGCAAATATGCCATACAGGATTATACCGCGTGGTACCGAACCGCGCCTGTTTGAGTACGCCTTCATTTAACTTACATGAGACAGACTCTTCATTATATTCGCCTCGTTAAGAACCTTTTCCGGATCATTCGAATTTGATGGCTTATTTCGAGTGATAGCACTACATTCGCTAAGTAGATTTTTTTTAACTATTTTCATAGCGAATTGGTCGCAAGTACGTATATCAAAAACCAGACGTACTAATCCACATGCACCAGAACCTAATTTTCTACTTACATAGTAAGCAGTTGTAATTTCTTTCGGTAAGCCCAATGCCTCGTTTGGACAGAGATCTTTGAACACAAATGCTTTGAATACAAATGTTGATCTATTTTTAATACATAAAACATAAATATCAAATTAAACTTCGCACCCACCTTTGTTCATTGGATGACATAGGGAAATCACATCGTCGTTTTGTAAAATTCGTGATTTGTTAATACCTACTCGTTCACCATTCACAAAGGTACCATTGCGAGAGTTGTCCTTAAAAGATAAGTTTCAAATAAGAAGTACTTCAACTCCGTTCATGTTAACATACTTGTATATACACTGGATTGGAAATATCGCAATTAGCACGTTTTAATGTAAAATGTACTTTTGATATTCGGTACAGTATTCTTTCAGGCAAATAATCTAGTGTTAGCATCAAATTACTTCCATCGCCGCGACCAGCAGTAAACTCGTCGGAATTCAGATCTAAAAAATATTTATAATTTTTATAAAATTGCCATAGGTCTTAGGATAGATCGTCACTGGGTTATATAAAAAAAAAAAAGGTTCGTCAGCGATAAATCTAGCCAATGACCACAGCCCCTCCGTGAAACATGCGAATGTATACTGCTGCAAGATGTTTGTCTTTATATACATAGATAATTGGATAGGCATTTAAAAAAATTAGAATAGTAAGCTCACTGTCTTTTAACTTACCAATCGAATTCATTTTTATATTCTTTCCATATAGGCGCCCCCAAATTATATTCTCGATCGGCTGGCTTTGTGTCTGGCCCCAAATGCTGGAAGCTTGACTTTGCGTCGCAATGTTATCGTGCCGCGCCATTGCAGGTGTGCGACAATACTATACCAATTTATAATTAAGTGATAACGAACACCTCAAATAATTAAAAATATGTACCATATATAATTAACGCCACTCAAAATATATAACAAAAGTTCAGTTATGTTTCTTTTGATCTTTCGCGGCTATTTTGTCCAATTCAGTGAAACATTTGTGCCATTTTTGTTTCATTCCCCTATCTCTAATTGTTACCAGACTTATGGAAATCCGCTATCAGAGACAGTGATCGGACGCCTACCACATCTACCATTCAATTTCATCAGCCAAGCGATAGGACGTAGTAGCGGATTTGTGCAAGCGGTGAAGTGCTTATTTTCTTAGAAATAATTTTTTGTGCGATACATATGTATATCTTTGAACTTATTTGATTTGAATATACATATTAACTTTGTGACTATACTTAAATTAAAATTAGTAAATCTAAATATACTTTAGGAGTGTACTCGTACGTCCAACTATCTAAAGTTTTAGAAAACTTTTACTGGTTCTGCGTTCTCGTACCCAAAAAACTTGCAAAGTAGAGGAAATTGAGAGAGCAAAATGTGAAAAAGAGCTGCAAATAGTTGCGTTCGATAACAAAATTAGCCAACACCAGCCAACAATCAAAATCAAGAGACTAAGCCAAAATTCTCTCCCAAAGAGATGAAAAAGCAAAAAAGTAAACAAACAGGAAATTAGCCATTACTTGCAAAAACCGGAAGAAGAAGACACACCAGTTGACTTTGTTTATGTTTTATTTGTAAACAAACTGAAATTCATGTTGCCTCCATAGAGAAAAAAGGAAAGTGAACGTTCAATGTTCGCCAGGAACATTTCTAGAAGTAAAAACTAGTTGGCGCTATCATAAAGTCACATAGCAGGCAGCCAAAAAGCATNCAAATATACCAAAATAGATTTAAATGCAGCATGTTAAATGTTGTTTTGCTGAAGTTTTCGGTTCTGGTAGGTTGGTTGTTGAAATGAAAAATTTATAATTTTAAAGCTACATCTGTAGCTATATCTATTACATTTTTTTGGATCAATGATGGGTGTTTGGAGGAGGTACTCTTGTTTTTGAATGCGTCACCATGTGATATCACAAATAATTATGAGAAAATAACTTATTCATTCCGATATAATTAATTTGTATTTTAAAAAGGTTTTTCTTATCGAAAACTATTCAATTGTATAAAATGCCAAATCGGGGGAAAATGTACCAAACAGAAAATAAATTGCCAAATTAATCACCAGTGGCAACTGTGCAAGTGATCAGCTGTTTCGAAGGTTGCAAGTTTTTGCAAATTTTGCGTTCTCGTACTTCTGTTGATATTTCGTCTCTTTGAGAGCGAATGCTGCTAACTTCTCAGAACTTTTGCTACTGGAGAATTTTGTCCTCTCAATACGAGTACACACCTTTTGTCTATTTTGCGTATAAGTAGGGTGGCCAGATATTTTAGTGACATAATCAGTACAGTTGGGATCAAAAATCAGTACAAAGCCATAAAAATCAGATCATTTTTAAGCGCCTTTTTCGTTTATTAACAACTAGCTTATACCCGCGGGTTTCACCCCGCGTTTTTTACAAATATGAAAAAAAAATTTAATGATGTTAGATTTTATTTCTGTGCCCATTTCGTTATAGCTCGTTATTTTTTAAACGAGTTAAGGTATTTAGGCCGTTTAAAACTATGAAATTATAAAATCTCGTCTGCTCGCTGGGCATACGAAAGACATCAATCCCTCTAAGTTTACCTTAAAATGGTTCCAGGTATACGACGCGTGAACGTGTAACCTTCTTGGAGGTGCCACGGCGGGTTCTAATATTTCCAACTCAAATTTAGTAACCTGGCCTTGATAAAATACCACTTCTCATTACTGTAGCAAATGCCTCAAGAGAGCTTTAGATTATAAGGCTGAACCCGGCTCTCCTTTTCCATTTAATGAAATTTATTCTGTCAGTACGGCACTTATAAAATAAATCTCCATAACAAATTTAAAATACTTCGAGAGATTTTCTATCCTTCCAGAAATATGTATTAAGAAGTTTTTAGTATGTATGGGAGGCGACATGCCTCCTTTTTTAATAACTCACATTTTTTCCATGAGCAATTGATACATTTTGCATACACAACTCCATACCAAGTTCCAGTATTCTTCCACAAACACTTCCAGGGATATGTGGCAAGAAAAAGTAAATTTGTACTGGAAGTGCCACGCCCCTTTTTCTTATAACCCTAATCTTCTTCCATAAATTTAGAATGGATTTTACATACCCCAGTACCAAGTCCCAGTACTCTACTTTGAACACCTTTAGAGATAAGCAGTATAAAACAGTAAATAGAAAAATCAATTTGCATGGGAGTTGCCACACCACCTTTTCCAATAACTCTCATTTTTGTCCATGAGTATGGTATTAGTTTCACATACAGTGACAGGCAAAACTGTAACATGGTGTAACACTTTTTACTTCAGCCATCGCTATCTTTCCAAGTTCTAAAAACTTTCATACTTTTGTTGTATATTCTTGTTGGTACATCCCTACTCCCTCTCTCATAACGATTTGAAGCCAATACAACAACAATAAAAAAACCAGCTGACAAAAATGTAAATTAAGGCAGATGTTACAGTTTTGCACTCATACATTTTTTAGAACTTTTTAACAATTTTCACGAAAAAAAAGAACTACTAACACAATGTTCAGTACTCTTTTGCTTGTTTCAGTTCCTGGAAACGATTTGGCATACCTTATTTGTATCTCTGTAAAAATTCTGGAGGTATATCCTTAGCTTGCTTTCACAGCTCATGTACTCGATTTTACGGACTTGGATACTAAGTAAGCTGTGCTTTTAGTTGTTTTCGCAAATTCTCAATGAGATTCATGTCCGCGGATTGAAGAGGTCATTTGAAATTAGCAAATTTTTCCTTTTGTATCCAGTCTTTGCGAATATGTGCAATGTGTTTAGGGTGATTTTTCAGCAGAAACTCTCATTTTTTCGACTAGATCTTGCAAATTTTATTGAAATATGAACAGATACTGTTCCTTACACATAATGTGCACTAACGGACAAACAAAATTTTTTAAATACAACCCCAAACTATTATTGACCGACCACCGTGATTCACAGTTTGCCTTACATGCTGCGCATGGGCTTAATTTGGGTCTTTTACCCAATACCATGCCCGGCCATCTGATTGAAAGCGATTAATTTAGTCTTTTCGGACCAAATAACCTTCAATTGAAACTTAAAAATATGTTTTTTATTGCATTCTGAACGGTCTAACATGTCCCAATAGGAAACGGTTCAGTTTCCGTGCGATATAGCAAAATGCTGCCGCATTCGCACATGTATTTTTAACAAATTTGCTTTTTTCTTCTTTATGATGCCTTAGCGCTCAATTTGGGAATTCTTCGCCTCGGTGTCCATTGATTTGCGTTAAAGTGTAATACCTTAAGCGCTTCTGTAATAGTGGCTGCATCGCTACTTGCTACTAAGTTCACAAGATATTGTACCGTAATATTTTTTGACAGACTTCCTTTGTCCATGGGAACACTTTAGGCTATATTTTTTCTCAGTCTTAACATTTTCAAGTAGCAAATTCCAAAATTGTTTGCCACTTTTCGTGCGGTCCCGCCTTTCCGCAGTAAATCTATTATTTATATTTATGGTTCCTGATTAACTATATTATTTACTGGTGATCACTTCTTCAATAAATTACACCAACAAGAAATATAGTGATGGCTGAATTAAAAAGTGTCACACCATGTTACAGTTTTGCTCGTAACTGTACGTACATACATATGTATTTCCATACCAAGCTTGAGTGCTTTACCCCAAACATTTGAAGAGATATGCAATATGAAACTTTCAGTCAGTATGGGAGGTGCTACGCCTCTTTTCCAAAAACGTCCATTTTTCTCCGTCAATATGAACATGATTTCACACAGTGTTGGTAAACTGTTAATCTGATTAACGATTAAAAATTAACGATTAAAATGTTAATCGCGTTTGACGATTAAAATTAATTAGTCGTAATCAACTGTACGATTAATGATAACATTTTTTAATCGTTAATCGCTGGCTGCGATTACGTTTAATTAATTTAAAACATTAATCGTTAATCCAATTAAAAATAAAACCTGATTAATTTGTCTAGTTTGTCCGAGTTTGAAACCTAACACCAGTTATAGTAATTATTTTGTGTTTTACGCTTATAAAAAGCACATAATATAAAAAATTATAAATATTGTTATTAGTAATACATAAACTGGGAACTTTTACAAACCTAGTTTGTAAAACGTTTGTTGGTATATATCTTAATGAAAATGCACACCAAATTGCTTAGATTGATGAGGAAGCCCGACATAGCCATACCGGATTAACTTGCTTTGTGTGCACAGGGAAATTCCAGCATAACTTAATTAATCACCAAACCTACTTGATCAAATTAAGAGTTAATGATTAAAAATTAATTTTTTAATCGCGATTACGATTAACTGTTTAGTCAGATTAAAATTAATCATGATTAGCTGTAATCAGATTGAATTTAATCGAATTAACTAACTGATTAAAACATCAATCGAATAATCATTAATTATCATTGATTTCACATGACAGTATCGGTCATATCTATAGCACGCCATTTCAAAGTGATATTTTGTGCAACTTATGTTTATTTATTTATTTTTAAGAATTTTCAATTAAAATACAGTTCTTTCTCTAACAAACCCCATATAAACCCAAGTTTAACAATTTGTAGAAAACTTCAAAAAAGTTAAGTTTCAAACTTTTTTCTCGGAAGTGTTAGAATTTTTTTGAGTACACAGCTTTTTAGCCCCTGCAATTTTAGTCTGATAATGTGCAAATTTCAAGTAGCTACGAATTACCGTTAATTTTTTAGAATTATTTTTGTCGCATTGGCTTCCATATAATGAATAAACTCAATTTATTTGTATATGGATGAAAACCGCAACACCTTTGGCGAAAAAAATTCTAAAAAATCAACGGTAACTTTCAGTCACTTGAAACTTGCACATTATCAGACTAAAATTGAGTTCTCGGAGTTACTTTCAGTCTAAGACCATCCTTCCGAAATCCGTAGTAAGTGTACTAAATTTTGTTCTGATCGGAAAACCGGTTAAAGAAGTAGCCTATTTTTCAATCCAGGTCATAAACCATCTTTGAACAAAATTTCATTTTCGAACAGGTGGCAATTCTTAAAAAAGTAGCCTATTTTCCAGTCTAGGTCATAAGCTATCTGTGTGCAAACTTGCATGCAAATCAGTTCAGTCATTTACGCGTATTAATTTAATT